TGCAACTAAAAATAACTCACAAACATTGGGAATTGTGCTGTTATGGGCAACAGAAGTGAATCTGAGTTCCTAGAAGGAGAGGGAGGCTTCACAATGGAATTTCATTTCTTGAATGAATTTTTTGGTAATCTGTTTCCTCAGGGAAGAAAGCCATCTCCAGATGCAAACCTTAGAAAGGAGTGGGAACTTGAGTTCAGTTTCAGTAGTGAGTTTTTCCTTTGACATAATTCTCGGTGACTCTGCTTTTAACATGCTGGTTTTTTACCCCATTCTGAGGAACTCAGCTCTTTCTGGGCATGGTTAAGATAATTGGATATATCAGTGGGGTAGCTGGATTTCTTTCCTGTGGTCAAATGTAAACGTTCATTTTTGCATTGTCTGTTTTTCCTAAGATTTTGCTCTAAATAACAGAGATTTACTTTGGTCCATTAGAAAATCCCAGCAGATTGTATTGAAGGCACACGAACCACCTTAAAGCATTTATGCAAGGGTAGAAAAGATACCTGCTCTTTCACCCAGTGATCATATCAGCACTCAGGGAAAATAATTGTATGGACTTAAGGCTAAAAACAGATTATTGTGTGCTTTGCCCCAAAGACAAGAAGAAAACAAAGAAATATCCTTTGTGCCCTGCTAGCAAACCAGTTATTAAGTGATGGTGTATTTCAGGGCAATTAACAGGGTTATTGGAATGAATCTAGTCAATGCTCTCCAATTCCTATCTAACCATCTCTCTTTGTAATGATTTAGAAATGTGTATAACTCTAATATAGATATCAAGATTCCTTATATCTGCAAAATACCAGCTTTAAGGCAATTAACTTAGAAAAATGGTGCCCCTAAATGTCACCAATTAGAAGCTGTAACTGTAATACGTTGCTCTTTGCTTGATCATTTGTGAGTAGCTGCATTTTTCATAAATCACGTTTAAACATCTATCTGCAGAGATCTCTTTTAGTAATCACTGAAATCATTTTAACAACAAAGTAGACTTTCCATCTTTTTTGCTGCTTGTTCATCTTTCCAGTTACTGTTGGTGCGATCACTAACCTGGACTCTTCTGAGTTATTTTTGTACTCTGATTTTTATTCAGTAGCCAGTTGTTGGATTTCTCAGTGTTGTAGAGCCACTTAAATGGATTGAAACTCATAGAACATTTTGTGTGAAGCAATATATATACATGAAGAATATTAAAGATAATAAGAAAAAGACTGGAGTAGTCAATGAATGAGTAAACACTGGTGTATTCCTTCTAATGTCTTTTAAGCTTCTTTAATAATCTAAATGATTTAGATACGCTTTTTTCCTCAGCACAATCTGTTGTGCTGTCGACAAACAGTAGTGGTTCTCAAATGCAACATTTATGAACTGTGGTCATCCATTTGGAGACCAAGTACTACACCAGATGGGCACAAATAGCAAATTATTTCTTTGCCAAAGTAATATGATAAGTACTTTTAAACGATAAAACTTTAATGATTGGAATGTAGTTAGGTAAACAAGAAAAGAAAATGCATTTGCTAGTGACTCCATTTGATATCAATAATGCTGTAATACTCCCTCAATAGAAAGCAATTGTATAGAAGATTACACTGCACTGAAAGGCTAGAACATCATCAAACTATGAATGAAATTGGTTATAGAAAATAGATGGTTTGTGGTTTGTGTTAGAGAGTTAGATTGAAGTTGTCTTATAAATGGACTGAGTTAATTCTGAAGTGCTCTTCCAGCTTTTCACACAACAGAAAACACACTGAAACCACCACTCTTCTCTCTTCTGGTTCCAGAGCTGAGATGGAACTTCATGAGTTTTGTAGCATCATTTCCTATCATCCATTCTAGAACAACTTTCTAATGGTTAATTCTGTAATGTTCCTTTCAAAGGAGGCAAGAAATAAATGAGTATACCAGGCCTCCTAACTGCATGATCCACCTCATTTTAGAGTTCACAAGACTCTGACCAAGAATTGACAGGCAAATTATTCATTTTCTGCACTACAGAATGGTATTGTTCTTGCTCTCTAGACAGTGTTTCTAAGCCAGACACCACTGATCACACCACAAAAGATGCCCTAGCCCAGTTTTCAAACTCTAGACCATAGGGAATTCATGTCTGTATCTAAGAAATTAGTGAAAAATGTTATATTTTTCCTCAAAATATCTCTAGTTGTAGAAAACATACAGATCCCTGCTGTCAAATCATAGCATTACACTGTGAGACTGAAGGATTAGCTTAATGCATTCTTCAAGTCCCTGCATTTATTCAAGAACCCCCTGCTCTAATAGAATGCCTTTCCTTCAGCAGGATTTTCTTTCATCTGTACCAGTCTGAGTGTTCAGTCTTCTAGTCGTAAGACAAAACTTTCCAACATGACCCAATTACAGGATACTTCTTTTTCTTTGTCTCATTATGTTTCCTTCTGCCTGTGCTGCCTTGGTTCACTCAGCTTTAATATGAAAATTTTCATATAAAGAAATAAAATCTCCAAAATTCTTGAATAAGCCCAATGGTTTATGTAACCCTTAATGTAACTTA